ATGGACACATGACGACCAACTTGGCAGAGGAAATTAATTCAACTTTAAATGGTGCATATCACTTACCAGTAGCGGCTTTGGTAAAGACTATATATTTTCGTTTGGGGGCACTTTTTGCGAAGCTCGGGGGACAAGCTCAAACCTGGATGCAAGACGGCCATGTCTATCACCCTAGATTAGTTGCAGATCAACAGAAAAAATTTTTTGCATCAAATGGAATGTCTGTAACAAGCTTCTCTAGAAGTCATGAAATGTTTCGTGTCACAGAGTTGCCGCGACCTCTTCAAGTGATTGAAGTTGTGTCGTTAAGAGTAAATCTAAGGGACAAAACGTGCGACTGCGGGTTTTTTCAAGCTCTTAAGTATCCATGCTCTCATGTGATAGCAGCTTGCTCGCATACACGTCAAGACTATAACCATTTTGTGGATCCTGTATACCTAATATCTGAAGTTTTTAAGGTATACAAATTTGAGTTTCCCCCATAGGTAATGACAAAGACCCTGATGAGGTTCAAGATTGGCTTCTGATTGTACCAAATCCGAGTTTATTGAGGGAGCGTGGTTGTCCAAAATCCAATCGAATTCATTGCGATATGGATATTCGAGAAAGATCTAGACAAGACATAAGATGTGGACATTGAAACCCAGGAAAAACTAGAAAAACATGTCCACTTCTGTTACCATCAAGTAACAATTGATGAGGAAATGATGTATTTGTTTATCAAATAATAATTCTTGTACTTTGATTTGCATTTACTTCAAGTTAATGTCATTCGATAATCGCTGATGAAGATTAAAAAAATTATACAATAATACGAGATTGGACGTTTGCGTTATATGTGATTATAATAAAATAGATAATAAGTGACAAACTTAAGAAAGTTATCGAACAATTTGGTATTTCAAAATAATTTTAAATACAACAAACTTACAATAAGTATTAAATGATAACTGATAACGAAATTACAATAACTGATATTAAATGGTAATAAACAAAATTAATTAAAATACATTAAAAAAAAGTCAAACAAATTTAACAAAATAAAGTAAGTATTGAATGAGAATAAGTGTTAAATGAGAAATAATAAAAAAATTATAATTAAAAAGTCCAATAAACTAAATACAAATATAATAAAAAACAAAATCTATCGATGCCTGCGACGCGAATGTGTTCCGTAGGGCGGTGGCTGTCGGTATCGAGGAGGATTTCTTCGTATAACTGGTTGTGACTCTTCGCTGTCAACATCACCATCATCATCGTCATCGCCGTCGTCATCGTCATCCTGAGTAGGTACATTAGGTTGATGAGGAGCTGACGACGATGAAGCACCTTCATAGAATAAGGACCCTAGAGGTGTATGACTGACTATCCCACCGGCTTGCAAAAACTGGGAAAACTCATAAAACCCAGACATCGTTGAGTGTGAAAACTGTATAGGAGGTGTCTGTGCTGCAGCCATGAGTTATGAGGCTGAACCCGCTAAATATCTAGCATATGAACCCCAAGTTAGATCTACAAACATAGACCCATAATAGCCTCCAAGAGGGGTCATCTGTGACGGTGGTGGCGGCGGGGTCATAATAGTAGGTGAAGGCGAGGGCGACGACATCTGGTAATGGAAAGGTGGTGGCGGCATCATATATGGTTGCGATATGTAAGTCGCTGGATACGGTGGCTTCTGTGAAGGTCCTACTGGTGTAGTTGAGGATGAACCGGATGTACATGCTCTCCGTCCACGAGTCAGGGGACGATGGTGCTGTGTCGGTGAACGTCTCTGTCGACGTCGCGGAAAGGTCTGCCCTCGTGCATCCTCGGGAAGCAGAAATGGTTTTCCGTTACTGTTGAACCACTCGTAATAACCGTCAGCAACCATCAAGAGGTCATAAAAAATGGGCTCTCTACGGGGAAGGTGTCGATGTCGATCCTCTCACAACACGACCCACGCATGATGCCTCACCGGCCAATCTGTATCTGTCTTGTCGCGTCTATTTGTGCTATGCAACTCGTCTATATTGCGAGGTGCTTCCGGAATTGGTTGAAAACAACCAAATTGCCGGAGCACGCAATCAGTGGAGTGTCACTCGACAGTCACATAACAGATCAAGGGGACCATTGTCATCCAAACATCTGATGAGCCCCTCAACTCAGGTGGGATCACCGCCCTCACATCATCAGTAGAATATGGCACCCATTCAAACTGAAACATATACATATAATTTTTATCAAAATAATAATCTAATTATATAACTATAATCTAAAATCGATTTTTAAACATTAAAATTCATACCTGTGTGACAGCCTTCTGATCGATTAACATCCTATTTTTTTTTCTAAATCATCAGGTAGCTCCTGATGATTTTTCCTACTAGTAGACCACCTATTCAAGAAAAATAATTTCTTATTCAATGTATAAAATTATTAATATACAAAATTAGTTTTATAATTACCTTAGGAGTAGCGGAAATACGAATGGGTTCTTGACAACGGGACATAAAAAGGGCAATCGATACCATGCCCAAGACTGCAACAGCAAGAGACATCCACCGATAGCATTACACCTGTAGTCAATGGCTCGACACATCTCCATGTACAGGCAAGCCAAAACTGTCGAGCCTCTACTGAGTGATTCGGCTAGAAGAAAGTCGCCAAAATGTTGCAACCACATATAGTGAACTTGGTTACGCGATTTGTCCGACATCAGCAACCCTCATATCAGTTGCAGTATGCATGCCCGTGCATACTATTTAACTTCATCGTCAGACGCATCCTCGCTCAACTCCCGAAAATTGGCATCTAACCAATTTAACGGTATTCGTCCACCATTAAAATTTTCCGGGACACGTCATAGACTAACCCGGCACAAAGTAGTCCAAGAACCGAAAGCTATCCCTGATATCACACCTCCATCCACCGGAAGCCCCAGGTGCATAGAAATATCCTCAAGCGTGATCGTGCACTCTCCGCACGGAAGATGGAATGTGTGGGTCTCCGGCCTCTACCACTCTACTAAGGCAGAAATAAGGTCTGGTTCTATCTTACAGTGACCTTAATATCTACCTAAGTAACCTAATCCAGCCTCTACTAAATACGACATTACACGAGTATGTATAACTAACTTAAGGTTCCTAATAAAAGTATCTAATATACGATCCCTCTCCTAAAATATAAATAATTACACAAATTAATTTTTAAACTAATAATCATGCATTAAATAAATTAATTAATTAAATTAAAACGTTAAAATGTTACCGTATCAGCAAAGTGTCGAGATATATGATTTTCATCCAACCAAAGTAGATCGCATTCCATTTTATATCTACAAAAAAATTAATTAAATAAAATATTAAACAATTAAAATAATTAAATAAATTACTAAAAAAATACTAAATATAATAAAATATACCTTAATAAGAGAATATAAGAGTATTGAGAGGATTTTGTGTGATGAAATTGTTTGAGAATGGGGTATTTATAGGGGGATGGTGGGTGTGAACGGGCGGGGTAATTTGGTAATTAAGGGTATAGCGCGCCGCAGGGGCCGCACATTTTTGACGCGTGTCAGAATCACAGGTAAGACACGGCCCTTGCGGCGCGCTATACCTTTAATTACCAAATTACCCCGTGACATACACACATGTATCCATGTTAGCATAAGGCGCGTCGTAGGGGGTGCCTTACCTCACGTGGCGCCAAATCAGCGTATAGCACGCTGCAGGGGATGCGCCTTACTGCAAAGGGTTTTAGATCAGGAAATATAGTCTGACCGGTGTTAGATCGGTAAATATACTGGTCACCGGTGATTTTTTTGGGAAAAACATCGTGTTCACTGTTCAATTTTAACCGAATTAATCGATCAAACCGAATTAGTTTAGACATGAAAAGTTTAATAATTTGTTTAGAATTTGATTAACGGTTAATTCGATTCGAAATCGATTAATTAATCGAATTAACCAAAATTATTAAATATTAAATATATTACATATACTAAATCCATATTTTAAGCTCAAACCCATTAACAATTAAGACCCAAATATTTTTAACTACACTAAATTCATTAAATTTTCACTACTTAATAAATTTTAACAAAAATATTTCTATTATAGTTAAATTAATGTAATTTAAAAATCATAAAACATTATAAAAATTCGGTTAACAGACCGAAATAATCGAATTTTATTCGATTCGGTTAATATTTAAAAAATTGATTCAATTAACAGTTAAAGAAAAAATTCGATGAATAATATTTCGGTTCGATCGGTGACTTAATTAACCGTTTGAACACTCTTACTCAAAAGATCTATACTTTAAAAGAAAAACTGTGTATAAAATGATAAAATTATTGATGTATTTTTTTGTATCTCAAAACACTATTATGGAATATGGAGGCTTAACATCTCAAGCAGGGCAATGGAGTCAAAGGGGAAACTTAAATCCTCCACTGATTTTGAAACTACAAAATATTAGTAATAGAAACACAAAGTTGAAAACTTTTTTAAAGAAATAAAAAGGTCGAGAGTGAAAGACGATGAGGTTGACATAATGAGTTTACGTTTACATTTAGATTTCCCACATCAAAGGATCCCACCCAGATTCAGACAAATTCAGAGTGTGTAGTTTCTTTCTCCCATTGTTTGATATCAATAATGGGGAAAGCTAGAGAGTGACAAGGATGAAGAAGAAAGCAAATAATGTGCAAGCACTAACCCAAAAAAACCCAGAAGAAAGGAAGCATGTGGACAGTGGGGATTTTTATTTTGACTACATGCATACAACTACTACTTTATACAACCTGTAAATAATAAATAAAAATCCATATATATTAAGAGAGAAAAACAAACCCTTTCTCTTCTCTTTGGTCTTTGTTATTCTCTTCTGTCTGTGACTGTGTTTTGCATTTATATAAGCAGGCAGTAGAGTGTTTCTTTGATTTTTTTGGGGGAATTCTGGGTAATTTTCTCCTTCAATTTCCCATATTTATGATTTAGATTTGGTGTTATCTTCCAATCAATTTTGAGGATCTTGTTGATACTAATACTGATACAATTTCCAGTATTTTTTTATTTTCTTTCTTACTTCATGGCTTCTTCTACAAGTTGAAGTTCAACGTTTACAAAAGAGGAATCCTAATCCTAAGTTTACCCTTTTCTCTCCTTTTTCAACTGTGGATCTCTGTTTCCCTCAAAAGCTCATAACCCGTTCATTTGCTTCAATGGATTTCCCAGTTGCTTTGTGAACGAGTTTCAACGCCATGATTGTCTCGTTTCTCTGTTTATTCTTCTTGTTTCCGGATGTACTGGCTCAGTCTTCTGAAACCAATGCGTCTTCGACGAGCGCCGCTGCTAGAGCCCTCGATGGGCTTCTCCAAGACTACGCTTATAGGGCATTTGTGCGCCCTAAAACAGGAGTGCCCTACGATGGGGTTGTTCCTTCTAATTTAACCGGGATTCGGATTGCGGCAATGAGGCTCAGGAGTGGGAGCTTGCGGACCAGAGGTGTGAGGATGTACAAAGAGTTCGAGATCCCCATCGGAGTTGTGGAGCGGCCCTACGTCGAACGCCTCGTTTTGGTTTATCAGAACTTGGGGAATTGGTCTTTGCGATATTATTCGCTGCCCAACTACAGCTTCCTCGCCCCTGTTTTGGGTCTTCTTGCTTACGATGCTTCCGATTTGTCGGCTAAGAATTTGCCGGAATTGGATTTGAGAGCGTTTGGGGATCCCATCAGGATCAATTTCTCGGATGCGGAATCGGCTCCTGGTGGGTCTGTCCCCAAGTGCGTTTGGTTTGATTTACACGGTTTGGTCAAATTCAGCAACTTGACAGCTCCCAATGAGTGTTCCACCGTCCAGCAGGGGCATTTTTCGATTGTCTCCGAGGCAATTTCGCCGCCTATTCCGTCACCGGAGAGCGGAGGAAGGGAGAATAATGATAGGAGAACATGGATAATCGTTGGTTCTGTTGTGGGTGGGGTGGCATTGCTGGCATTCTTGGGGTTCTTAGTGCTTTGGGCTCGCAAATGCAAGCAGAGGAAAAAAATGCAGGAGATGGAAAAGGCTGCCGATGTGGGAGAAGCACTACACATGACCTCCGTTGGTGGTACGAAGGCGCCATCGGCGATGTTTACTCGGACTCAACCGACTCTCGAGAACGAATATGTGCCTTAATAACCCTTCTCTCTGTGTAGTTTCAGTAAATTATTCTTCTGATCAATGCCTCACAGCCACACCTATTCTTTTTTTCTTTTCTGGTTGTTTGTTCATGGTAGCCTCTCGGTTGTAGTGTGGGTAAATTAGGATTCTTTTTTATAATTTTCATGATTCATTGTGGCGTGCATTTAGCCGAAATGATTCTATTCCATGTCTTGAATTATAGTTGTCTCATTCGTAAGGAATAAAAACACTTCTTTTCTCCTTGAGGTGCCTTGTGTTTTCTTGGATTTACTTTTGTTGTCTGTCTCTCTCAGAATGCAGGATGAAGATTGCTTTGTAATCAAAGCAAGCTGATGTTAAAGCTTTACTCCAACTATCTTTGGTTGGAAGCAAATGTTAAGCTTGGACATGTGTGGCTTGAGAGTTAAAATGTTATGTTTTTCATATCGTTCCGACGGCAAAATCGGTAGTTGTCATAAACTCTGGCTATAATTTTAGGTTAGCTGTGCTACATAGAACTTTATTCCGAGTTAAAATATATAATGGCAGTCTTAAGAAGGTTAACAATCTCCATTTTGCATTATTGTGACATCATTATGACCATGATAAGACTACCTTAAACATTTTGATAATCTCTAAATCATTTGGTAAGTCCAAAACATTGTAGTTAGAATCGATTCGCTTTAGTTTCATAAGGTACTACTCCCCTCAAATGTAGTTTCTTGAATGCTAATTTTGTTTATAGAATTGTTGAGCAATGCATTCTACATATGCCCTCAAACTTGGCCAATAAACTCTATCTTCCACCTTGACTATAGTTTTTCACATTAAAATGGCCTTGCTCGCCGAAACGTAAGTCCAATGCTCTATTTACATCTCTTTTAGTCTTGATGAAGAAGAGATGAAAGTACTCGGAAGAAAATTACGAATCTTCGAATAGGTAACTATTTTGTCACATCACTGCTCACCAGAATGTAGGTCCGATACTACTTCTCTTGAGTCTTGATGAAAGAAGAGATGAAGTACTTTGGAAGACAAAAGAGAGTATCTTTAAACAGATAGCTATCATACATGGACTAGGGTGAATAATCTCTCTTCAACTGTTCAAATCCAATTACTTTAGCTGACATAATTGGTAATTTAAGATGTAAATTATTTTATTCAAGGCATCAACAGCCTTCTTCTGTTTACTTTCTATTTAAAATTTCATTTTGGGTAGTGTTGTCAAGTATGTCTTTGCAGGTTCAGTAATCTTTTCTTTTTTCCTTGCTATCTCTCCTGAGTTATTCCGGAGACTTAAACTTCTTCGAGACTATTTTATTTTTCTTAATTGCTAAGTGAGACTACTCCCTTATTGTAGAAAAGAAAATAGTATCTATCGGCGTTGCTGTATTGGTATTAATCTCTGTCATATAACCATGGCCAACCAAAAAGATTTTTCTTAGTAGTCATTGGCACAATATTTTGCCAGTTATAAACTTTTTAGCTACCATGGAAATAGAAACTATAACATGATGTATTAAGGGAATGGTATTTCTTTTCAACCCAAGTGACCTTGTAAGTAAGGCCATGCATGTGATAGGGCTTTGATTTTTAGACTATAGTACCTTATGATACCACATTCATAGCACTGTCATAGTCCAGTATGCATGACCAAACTTGTCATTTCTCTATGCTTGATCCGAAGGATAGCAGTATGATGCCAGTCTTCCTTATTTTCTACATTTTCTATTGCTAATAGTTGCCTTATCCCAATACTTCTTTCATGACATCGATCAAGCTTGTTTCAGTGTCACCTTGGTCATTGTTTTCGTTGTCTGTGAAGTGTGCATTCTCCAACCTTGTGTTCGAAACTTCACCTTGTACTGGCTCAGTACTGCTGTTTTATTCCCATGTGAAGATACTTGTTCTCTTTATTTTGTACTCAAAACTGCTTCGTGGATATTGCGGGCAAGCACGTCTTTGCAGGTTCAGCAATCTCAGTTGTTGTTCTTGCTACATTTGGCCTACTATCGTATAATCGAACAAGAAAATAGCAAGTATCGGTATCCCAAACTTGTTATGTTTCTCTGCTGCATATCTTTGAAGAATTGTCTAAAAGTCATTGGCACAATAACCATATTACCCTAGATGTCATCTTTATAGCTATCATAGATGATGGAAACAAACAAGTTAAGGATTACTAGGATGTCCCCCCCCCCCTTTTTGGAAGCAATTATGTGCTTACGGAACTTGTGTGCAAAATAGCAAATGGAGGCCAATCCTCCATCATTAGTGCATGTGATGATGTTAATGCAGATGCAGAGTAAAGTTAGGTGTAATAAAGAAGCCTGTTTGTGTTCTGGTATGACTTGATTAGCAGAATCTTGAGTGCTTTGTTAGTTGTAGTGGTATCTGTGTCTGTCCTTATTAATCAAGTATTTTAGTTTAGAATGGAATGAAGTTATAATAATGGCCCCCAAACCAACAAAGCACACAATGAGATTCGATTATTTATTGAGCATCAATGTGCTGGGGCACCACAGCAGCCTTGGTGGATGCACAAATGGGATACCAACTACATTTGTTGCTATGTTTGTCTTTGTTTTAAAACCAAACCAAACCAAATTAATTTAAGACACGTTAGTATTAATTTATCGAACCTTAAATACATAAAAATCTTATATTGCATTTAAAAAAAACAAATTCATAAATGTTAATATTATTAATAATTTATTAAAAAAATAAAATTTTAATATATTATGGTTTGGAGTTGCTTATGCTCTTTTTGAGTCGAGTATTAAATAGTTCGTTTCGACTCGTTAAAAACTCGAGATGAATTCAAGCTCAAGTCAAGTCAATTTGAGTTGAGTATTTATCGAGCTTTGACCAAATCGATCTCAAATAACTCACGATCTATCTCGTCTCATATACATATACAACCCTAGTCCTAACTTGCAAGTTGTCAATGAAGACTCAAACTAAGATTTATTAAAATTAATTCAAACCCTTCATGATCCGGGGACACTAAGCAAATAAAATGTCACAAGGAATTGTAAATCGACAAATCTCAAACACACCAGTCGAGCGATGTAAACATTTGCAAGTGTTGTCGGATGTGCAACATTTTGGGTGTTCATGCTTTAGCATTACAAGAGAAAAAAGACAGAAAAAGGAACTTAAGCTCATCTGCTCTTTTAGTCTTCTTCAGCAGGACAGAATATCATTAGAGTACTTTTATTTCTTCTCCCTCAACCCGCTGGTCAAGTTTCCTACATTTAACACCGAATTACATGAGCTTCTATGTGCAGAGCATCGAAAAGCAAAATTGGGCAGATATATGCAAACAAGGCAGGGTGAAACATATTTTCCCCTTCATTGAAAGAGACGAGAGAAAAAGGGCGCTAGTCGTTATGCATGCATGCACACACCAGGGTTTTAAAAAACGGTCTGCAACTGCGATTTCGGCCGCGATATAGCGGTTTCACAGCCGTCCAAGTTACCCACGACGGCCACAATAGCGTCCGCGACGGCCGCAATCACGGTAAATCTGAAATAACCGAAAATGCGACCGCAATTTGAAACCCTGACACACACAACTAAATGCATGTGAGACATAAAGAGTACAAGAAACAAAACTCGAAACGAGACTTGTTTAAACGATATCAAACTACTTATCATTTAAAGCAATCCTTATTGAAAAAAAATACTAATTTAAAAATTTAAAATATTATAATCAGAAGTAAAGCCCCGGACACCTTACTAGGGGTTTGGATCCACCAATTTATTTCGTTTACTTAATTATTTTACAATGAATGTTCAATCACCCTTAGTAATTGCTTGCTGGTGCTCGAATTCGTAACATCTAGGAATAACAACAATTTCTTTAACTACTAAGGTAAGTTGGTTTGTGCTAATTTTAATATTTTGAATGAAATAAATTGAGTTCGAAAATTCGTTCCCATAATAAGTCTCTATAACACTTGATCTAGATTAACCAACCAATAACTCAAATATTAACAGTTATACAAAAATGCAAATTTCCTTTATTAGTTCCTACATTATACATAAATTGTAAATTTACTCCACATTCTGACTTTATCATTTTCTATCGTTATATTTTGATCTGAACAATAATCGTATTTAATCATATATAGGTACTGCATCACAATTTGACCTAAAATAAAATAAAGGGTAAACTACACTAGATACCTACTAAATTTAGGTACTGCATCGTTTATACCACTTAAGTTTTAATTTTATCAATTATAGTAATGAATTTTGATTTTTTATTTTAATTACACCAAATGATATTTTGTCAGAACTATGGACCACCACATCAACACCGTGAATTGACACGCCATCACCGTAACGCTCAAAGATAAAAAAATATTAATTAAATGATTACATTAAAAAAAATTAATACGAGGATCCCATTAATTTTTTTTTTTAAGTATAAGAACCTATGATTCCTTTTTGCATCATAAAAACAGGCAGCTAAGGCCAAAGGTATCCTAGAGGAGCGGGTCGCAGCAGGCAGCAGGCAGCAGGCAGCAGGCAGCAGGCAGCTAAGACTTCGTTGGCATTACCAAAAAATCACTATAATTCCCCATTGGCCTCTTCCTTCTTTGTTAGCATGATTGACACATGTCCTATCCATTTCTTCAATTCTCTGCATCCGTCAACACCCTCGACTCCCCCACCTACCACAGGGAACAGTAAAAACACCGTCTTTCTCTGGCTCCTCTTCTAGCCTAATAATCCCACACTAACTTTTTCTAGAAAAAGAAGAGCATAAAAAAGTTACCGTCTTTGCAGAGTTAACTTCAGTTTCAAAAGGAACTGATAACAATGTGAATACATGGAGAAAAATTATGAATTTTTAAAAAAGTGGACTCCTTTTCTACTAATTTGACACAGAGCTGTCCACAATTTTTCTTTTTCTTTTTCTGTGATTTTTATAAATAATATTGTTGCCTCTTATTACACACCTCTCGTATTGATGGTGTTGTGTTCTTCTTCTTTCTTTCTCCTGCTCAAATTGGGAAATCTTCTCTTTTTTTCTTTTTTTAAGCTGAAAAGGTCATTCATTTATAAAGAATTGAATCCTCAAAGGCTAAACTACTATGTCTGGCATCTATAATTCTGCCAGAGCTGCTTCTCCTCAGATCAGAACCACCCCAGATACTGACAGGTACACTTACACACAAGTTTTTTTTCCACTTAAACTTGAGTTCTTCAATTCTGATTCTGATTCTTCTGTTTTTGCCTTTTGGGTGTTGGAAATTTTTTAATCTGTTTGGAATTTTTGGGTTCTTTTTCATTTTATTTTTTTTTGCTTTTTCTCAGTCAGTACTTATCAGAACTGTTGGCTGAGAATCAAAAGCTTGGACCTTTCATGCAAGTCCTTCCAATATGTAGCCGCCTGCTAAATCAAGGTTAATTCTTTACTCTTGTCACTCCTGGATCTAGGTTTTTTTTATTTTTCTGTGTTTTAGTTACCAATGGTAGATCAGTCTAATTGAATGTAGTGATGAGTTTTTCAAGTTTACCCTTTCTAGTACCTATTCCCTTGGTGGTTATGGTGTTGGCTCGATCATGTAATTAACCCTATATTTGTTAGTTTGCTGTGTGGTCCAATACTAGAACCTGACTAGCTTCCATCACAGCATTGTGTTTTGGATGGTGCCTTCACTGGGATTAGTTGTTCACAACACATCGATCACTCAGTGATCGTTGTTATTTTAGGTGAATTGTATACTAGATACCGTCGTCTTCAGCTGGGACAATGTCTCTGTCCCTTGGTGATCACTGCTGTTTTAGTTAAATGGTGTGATTATTTTCACCTTTCGGTTTGCGAGCTATGTATTCGAATATACATTTGAAAAGATTATTAAGTCTGGGCTTAGAAAAGTTATTGAATTTCAAGTTTTACTCGTGTCTTGAGGAGAAAATTTGTCTAATATGGAAAAGCTAGCATAGACTTGAAGTAGATGCGGCACCTTTGGTAGAGTAGGTGAAAGTGTATACATTTTTCCGGGACCGTAGGGTGTATTAGCATTCCATGCTTCTTTCTTTGTTTTATCATCGTTTTGCCTCAAAATGGTTAATTTGATTTTGGATTCTATGTTCCTTTCATGCATTAATGTGTTTTCATATGTGGTCTTAATATGCAGAGATATTTCGGGTCTCAGGAATGATGTCCAACCAGGGATTTGGCGACTTTGACCGAATGAGGTATAGAAGCCCTAGTCCCATGGCTTCTTCGAACCTTATGTCAAATGTTTCTGGGACAGGATTAGGCGGCTGGAATAGTCTTTCCCAAGAGGTTACTATTCTTAAAACTTTTAGCTTTTGTTTCTTTATTTTGAATATATATTATCATTCACTTTTTTTATTGTTTGAAGTTCTCTTGCTTTATTAGTAGACCAAAACGTTAGGATATTGATTGGTCTTGGTTTGACTCGATTTACGTGATACTGGTTCCTGGAAGAGTTAATATCTTCATTGGCTAAGCAACTGTTCTAAAACTATGGATTTCGATTTTGGTTGCTAAGTTCTGTTAGTTAAAGAAGAATAAGGAAAATGCCCTAATTGTCACCAAATGAAAGTATACCTGCCAAATGGTGAACGTCTGAGTTCTATATTGATCCTCTTTGTATCTGGTTGATGGCTCACACACAATGATTGTTGAATCTCTGATATTTTACTCAACGTTTGACCATCGTAAGTAACTCGGATGAGAACCTAGTCTCTTTCCTGTCCAAATTCTTATGCTTGCCAATGGTATCCTCTTAACGCGGATGAACTGCAGAAGCTTAAACTCGTCTAAATATGCTTGTTTCTTGTTTTTTGGATTGAGCCTTCTGCTCTTCTGTTCTTTTGTGTCACCTTGTTTTTTTTTTTTTTTTGACAGAGATTGAGCGAACCACCGGGGATGTCAATGGACTGGCAAGGTGCCCCAGCAAGTCCTAGTTCATACACTGTGAAGAGGATTTTGCGTCTTGAAATTCCTGTTGATACATATCCAAACGTAAGCCGTAAATGGCACATGCTAGTGCGTTGGATTAAAATTTTATTGATTATAATTTTCGTATTTCAATCGAATGAGACAAATCTTTTGTGAGAATTGAGGTTTAGAAGTCTGTTTTTCGTTGTTAGTTCAATTTTGTTGGACGACTTCTAGGCCCCAGAGGAAATTCATTAAAGCGGGTGGAAGCTACTACTAGCTGCCGAGTCTACATCAGAGGCAAAGGATCAATAAAGGATCCAGACAAGGTAAAGCTACAAATTTTATGAACTGTTGTTGTTGTCTTAAAGGTGCAATACCTTTAATAGCCCCTTTCGTCCTCTTTTCTCCTACGAATTTTCCCGACATAAAAATTGAATAGTTTTGAATAATTCCTCATCTTTTCCCATATGAAGGAAGAGAAGCTGAGAGGTAGACCAGGATATGAGCACCTGAACGATCCACTCCACATTTTAATCGAGGCTGATTTGCCTCCTAATATTGTTGATACAAGGCTTAGACAGGCACAGGAAATCATTAAGGAGTTGCTTAAACCCGTGGTACGTACAGTAATCTTCCTCGCTTCCACCTACGTACTTTTGTTACCCTTATGGTTGCGGTGCAGAGCACCTTTGCATCCATTCTCCTCGACCCTTATCAATTTGCAGGTGTCACGGTGTTGAACTGTTGATGTTGATATATTTTTATCTGTGTACTCTTTTCTGAACTTCATAACGTCATATGCAGGACGAGTCGCAAGATTTTATCAAGAGACAGCAGCTGCGCGAGCTGGCAATGCTAAACTCGAATTTCAGAGAAGATAGTCCTGGTCCAAGTGGCAGTGTTTCTCCTTTTAATTCAAGTGGAATGAAACGTCCAAAAACCGGACGCTGAGAATCAAACCTGAAAATCATTTGGGATTGTTTCTACCGTGCTCCAGGATTTCATAAGCCAACTATATCTTCTGATACATATCGGTTCCGTGTACCTTGGAAAGACTAGACTAACAGTTGCAGCTGCCACCGGTGATGGGATTTTCATCGTTCAACTGTTTTGCTGATTGATAAAAAAAAGAAAAAAAGAAAATTGGGTCTTGGAGTCTAGATTTGGTGAGGTCAGTACTCAGTTTTGCTGTAAAATCTGAATACATTCATTGGATTTATTCATGTGTTTAGTAGGTTGAGTGTGAAATATACATATATATATATATATATATATATAATATTGATGGTGAGGTGGGGTTCATCTGAGTTTTATAGGGGTCTATCTGTGTCATATGTTTAGTTTGATTCCTTTACATGAAGCATAGTGCAGGTCCAGTCTGGCCAGGTCGGGTTTATTGTATTCTTTATTTTGGGTCAGAGTATCCGAAGCAGCACATGGGTCGTCTCTCATCTTTTAATTTCGGGCCAGGTCGGGTTTATTATATTTATGTGTTTATTATATTCTTTATTATATTTTAAGGAAATTGGAACCTACAAATTACAAAAGTGGGGAGTAGGGATAACCTGGTCTCTAGATTCTTTTCCTTGATAGTTGTAGTATAATTATTTCAAAATCATACTTAAAATTTAATTTTTGTTTCATTTTAGTACTCGTCAATAAAAACTTTAATTTTTGTTTTGTTTTAGTATATTGTTCAAAATTTAATGTTAAGTTTAGAAAATTTTGAAAGATTATATATTAAAACAAATCAAAATCGATAGTTTAGATATTAAATGCGTTAAGTTTTTAATATGGTACTAAAATGAAATGAAAACTAAACGTTAAATATGATTTTGAAAAAATAAAAATTTTAGATACTAAAACGAAACAAAACAGATAATTTAGATGCCGAATGTGTAATTTACCCAAGCATTAAAGCTGAAATTTCATTGGTTTACAATGTAGGTAAGTTAGCTTAGAAGCCTTGGGATTTTGGCTATAAATAGCCTTTAGGCAGCACCTTTGTTGTCAATTATGTATGTTGTTAAATAAAAGCATAGACTTTGAGCTTTCTTTTTAAGATGAGTGATTATTTATTTATTTTGACATAATGATACATTTAACCCTAAATAGTTACATCTTTTGTCATTTCAATTTTTTTTAGTTTGTTAAGTGGTCTTGATGATTAAAGGGAATATTTTTATTCTTGAGAATCTGAGTTCAAACAACTATATCTAGGGATGGCAAGGGTTAAGCTAGGGACGAGTTTTTGGTCAACCCGACCCGATCCGAAAATATGCATCCTCCACCTGAATTCGAAAAATATATATCCTACATCCGACCTGACCCAATATAAATTAAGGATTTGATTAAAAAAATAACAATTTTTTTAAGGAAATAACATTATTATCCTCGGACAGAGTCGGAGTTTTTTCACCCTCCACCCGAACCTGACCCGACTTCACCCCTTTAAAAATCTAACCCGACCCGACCCGAACCTGATTTTTCTATATAAAAAATCCGACTTGATCAGGTCGGATCAAAACACGTCGGATGCGGGTGAAATTGCCATCCCTAACTACGTCTGCAAGACATATATGTGTTATCAATGACTAAAAAATTCTAAACAGATACTAGCCCAAACTAATAAAAAAACTTCTATTCTTTTTAAGCTAAATTTAACTTGGAGAGGGGAGTGAGAAAGCATATGGACTGGTTACTCAAACCCCTATTTAACCTCAAACTCAAAGCTATATTTAGTTCAAATTAATCCACATAGATCCTCCATGATCTTGACACACTAAGCAAATGGAAGTTCAAAAGAAATTGAAAGCAACAAATCTCGAATAAACACAGTTTTGAAACGTAAACATCATCAACAGGTGTTGTCCAGAAGTGCAACATTTTAGTTCATGCAAATTCAAATTACAAAAAACCTTAAATTCATACGTGCTCCCTTAGTCTTCTTCAGCATGGCAGAATATCATAAGAGCACTTTTATTTCTTCCGTTGGCCAAGTTCCCTACATTTAACACCGAATAACATGACCTTCTATGTGAGGATCAAACAAGGCGGGATAGAAGAAAAGCACAGACTTGTTAAAATTTGCAACTATCGTTATAATCTCTATGTAAAAATAATTCAAGAGTCGAACCCTTCAGTAAGCATGAACAGAATGTGCATTGATCTATAATTTAACAAAGCCTGTAGAAACCAGAACGGTCCCCTACAAGTAAGGAAGCACATTGCTCGATGCATTTGCATAAGACGGAAGTAAAAATGGAAAACAAAAGCTAGTCTTTAGGTAGACCGTAATTTGTTTCATTTTAGTATCACCGTTAAAAACTTTATGCGTTTAGTGCCTAAACTATCAATTTTGATCCGTTTTAGTACCTAAACTATTAATTTTCTCAAAACCATACTTAAAGTTTAGTTTTTGTTTCATTTTAGTACCATGTTGAAAATATAATGTTAAGTTTTGAAAAAAATGAAAGTTTTAGGTACTAAAACGGACCAAAGTTGATAGTTTAGGCACTAAACACAAGTTTTTAGTGATGGATACTAAAATGAAACAAAAACTTAACTTTAAGTATGATTTAAAAAAAATTAAAAGTTTAGGTACTGAAACAGACCAAAACGGATAATTTAGGTATCGAACGCATAATTTATCCACACACACATATATATATATATATATATACTATGCATATTGAATGGTCAGGTCATGAGATAAAACCACCATTTCTACCAAATTTTCAATTTCTTAAAAAAATTTTACTAAAATGAAATAAAAATTATAATTAGGTATGTTTTTGAAAAAATCGAAAGTTAGATAATAAAACATTTTAAATAAGATAGTTTAGAAAGTAAATTTACCCTAAGATTATTGAAAATAAATAGAAAATAAAGAATTGAATTGAAAACCCTAAGAAGCTGATCTATGATGAAATCAAGGACAAGGAATGAAAAACGGCGATAGAGATAAAGAGAAAACGCGAGTGAAACTAAAAAGGTGAAATTAAATTCGAAAGCAAGTACCAGTACTAAACCAACAAGAGATCAATCGGAGGAAGAGAGATTTTCCACGAGCTTCTTATCTCTTCTTTCCATGGCAACGTCCCACATATCGTTCCCGATGTGCTTCGGCTGTTTCAAATTTCAGATTAATCAAACGATTTCAATTGAAATCGAAAAAAACCCAATGAAGAAAAGGATCCAAAAATTTCGAATTGAAACTAAAAAGAGAAACGAACCCGGCCATGATAAGTTTTGTGGATGAAATACTGAGCATTGCCCATCACGCAGAGCATTCCAGCTATGATCCCCAGGGGAAGTGCTGCTTCCAGCCATATCCATGCCATTCTCTTCTTCTGCTCGTGTGCTTCTCCTTTTTCTCTTCTATCTCCTGAATTTCTCCTTCATGTGCCCTTTAATTCAATTCCCAGTGATGACTAATAAACACTTCTGTTTTGCTTAGGCTTTTAGCCCACCTGAGATGAATATGTGCCTTTCATCTTCACTTTAAACATATGGGTAAGGTTGTTTGGCCCATTAGGGCAGGCCAGTTAATTATTTGGCCCATTAGATCATATCGGAAATTAATTTAGGATCTATGACAAATCCTACAATGCAAGAGAAACTCGTAACGTCCACATGACGAGTCCACATGGCGAGTTTATTCAAATAATATTTTTTATTTAAATTTATCAGGTTGGCATGACGAGTTCTAATAAAATATAAATTTTTATTATATTTTGTCACATAGAAATGAAAATTTTAAATAAAAAACTATTTTTTTTAAAACTCATCACGTCAACCTGACGAGTTTCAAATCACTGTAATAAATGCTATAGGTCCCTAAATAATTTTGTTAATTAGATTATTTAGTTATTTAAGTGTTGCCAATCAAATCACTTGTTAACATTTGACGGAGATGACATGAAAATTAATAACAATTGTATATTTATATATCGATCTTTATTACTTACACAATCAATCGATTTAGCCTTAATTTTAATCTAATTCAATAAATTGAATTCTCCAATCAGATTATGCCATATGTCACCTTCTGATTTGAAGAAAAAAATAAATCTAAATATTTTTAATATTCAAATTAAATCTAAATCTAGATATCAATATTTAAGTTATATATAAAATATTTGATTATATAATTTAAAATAAATAAATAAATAAATTGTATATCTAAATTTAAATCGCAATATACTATTCATAAAAATAAAAATAAAAATTAAATGATAATTAATCGAAATTGCCTTCATTATTAGAAAAATAAATTACATAGATAATCACTTAATTTTGTAAAGATTTTAATTTAGTTATTAATCTATTAATTAGATTATTTAATTTACATCATTTTTGACTTGACATCTAAAAAAGTGATATAATTATATATTTTATCTTTATTACTCACACATTCTATTAATTTATTTAATATTTTATCTGATTAAAAAATTAAATTTATCAAACTAAATTAAAATTAAGATCAAATTCTATAATTATATCAACTTTTAACTATTATATTAAGTATTAATGACAACTAATTCAATTAATATAATTTAAAAAATTTAATAATTAATAAATAAATAGTTAAATTAAAATACTCTTATAATTAAATGGTTATTCATATAATTTATCTAATAAAATAATACATATATTCCATCCCATGGTCAAATTTTAGATTTATTACATCTAGTCCAATTTGGCAATACAAATGAAATGAGGGTAAATGATAAATTTGGTATCCCAATTATCACTTTTCTTCCGTTTTGGTCACCCGTTATTATTTTTTTTTCAAAATCATACATAACATTATATTTTGATTTCTTTTTACCCCTCCAATGTTAAAAATTTAACAGAATTATTGACGTGACATTCTTATTTTTCAATGGTAATGTGATATTATCTTATAATGATATATTAACATCACCGTTAACCTAAATGAAACTAAAACTAAACATTAGATATACTTATGAGAAAAATAATTACGTGTCCAAAACGGAATAAAATATAATTTACTCATGACATTATTTGGCAACAGTGAGAAAAGCAAAGCATGGTTTTATAAAAAGAAAAAAGAAAAGCAAAGCAAAGCATGGCGTATATGAGTAATTTGAGGACCCAACAGCCAGAGCCATCGGTCAATCCTCCGACGCTTGAGCTTGACTCCATTCCTGTTCGGTACTTTGGGTTTTTCTTCCTTCCAGCTCTGTTCCCTTTTATAGATTTCTCAGGAATTTCAACAGCTTTTATACCTAATATTTTTTTACGTTTTAAATATTGGTGATGGTAATGACTAAATTGAATACATGATAAATATTGACGAACACTGAACGAATATATTCGTGAACGCTAAATGAACATATTCGTAAGCATATAAACGAATACGTTCATGAACATTAAGCGAACGTGTTCGTAAACAATAAATAAACGAACACGAACCGAACAAGAACATGAACACTTTCAAAAATAAACAAACGAACATAAACATAACCTTATTCTTTCAAACTCGGTTCATTTCCATCCCTCATTTCCATCCCTAAATTGTCCATTTTGTTCAAAACCGCATATTACAGTACAAAATAAGGCCATTAGTATTATATAGTTGTGAGTTCAACATTTTATTCTCTAGAACAACCGACTTGGATTAATAAACCACATAATCAGAGTGAATAGTTAAGAGCAAATATAGCAATTCCAAGTAAATGAATGCCGCAACCATTAACAACAGCATGCAATCACTCGTGGACTTACCATCTCAACGCCCTTTCGGGTTCATGATCTGCGAGAAAACAGCGCTCGGTGTCAGTCCATCCGAGTCATTACTAGCCAGGCTGTGACCGCCGATGCTCGTGCTCATCCCGCTGCTCCTAGAGTCGGTTAGGTTACCATCAAAACCGAGGGATGCGTTAGGATCCTTCTTCCCTTTACAGATTTCTTCATAGCTCCCTTCCTCCATCTCCATTTCATTGATTCCTTTCCCACTCTCTTCTGCACTCTCCTGCAGCTGCAACGCAAACTCCAGGTTCCACAGTACATCACCCATCGACGGTCTCTCGATTCCTTGATCGCCCACGCACTTCATTGCTGTCTCGGCGAACTTTTTGAAGCATTCCGGTGTTATCTTCCCTTTCAGATGAGGATCCATGATCTGATCGAGGATGCCTTTCTTGTGACAATGTGCAGCCCACTCTGCAAGGCTCACTTGCTCCTTGGGCAGTGTAGGATTCAATGCCGGACGTGCACAAAGGATTTCGAAGAGGACTACCCCAAAAGAGTAAACGTCGGACTTATCGGTTAGCTGCTGTCGTCTGAAATACTCGGGGTCCAAATAGCCGAAGCTACCCTTCACGACAGTACTCACGTGAGTATGGTCCAATGTGGGGCCGGTTTTCGACAATCCGAAATCAGAAACCTTCGCCACCCACTTCTCGTCCAGAAGAATGTTGGTTGTCTTCACATCTCGGTGAATGATGGTATGCTTGGCACCGGTGTGGAGATAGTGCAAACCGCGGGCAGCCCCAATGCATATTTCGAGCCTTTGCTTCCATGGAAGAGGGGGCTTTTTGGTTTTGTATAGATGTTCACGCAACGTTCCATGAGCCATATAATCATAAACAAGGATCATCTCGCAGTTCTCTTCACAGTACCCGATCAATGAAACAAGGTGGCGGTGTCGAAGTTTGGAAAGCATTTCAATCTCGGTCTGGAACTCATGCACGCCTTGCTCAGAGAGTGGATTGCCACGTTTGATTGCGACTTTAGTCGTCCCACCATCAATTTCTCCCTTGTAAACTTTGCCAAAACCTCCCACTCCGAGGACTAAAGAATCATCAAAGTTGTTCGTGGCAGCCTTGATCTCAGCAAACGAGAAATGGCGGCAAAGGTTTGAAGGGAGGGAGGAAGCATAGCTCCCTGTAGTATTGGTCTTTGCTGAACCTGCGGAGTGTGAATTTCCGTACAATGAAAGAGGAAGCCATCCTGAAGGGCCGTCACTTGCACTCGTATACTTTGCACCACCATGCCTACGGTTACGTGAAGCAGCAACAACACAGAAACCAACGACAAGAGCTAGAATCAGTCCACCGCCGACACCCCCAGCAATAATTGCCGTCCGATTCTTCGAATGACCTTGACGAGATGGCAAAGCCAACGATGGATCAACTACATTCTGTTTCGGACCAGGTGTAGGATTAGGCCCTGCTAAGTTGCTTTTCGGATCACTTATTTTGAATATCTCCACACCATTTAAGATTGCATCGTAATATTGGGGCTTGCTAGTCGGGTCTGGATGCAATGCAAGCCATAGATCCTGCTGTGAATTTCCTCCAGTAACCATGACCACATAATCCCTATACACAGGAACATCAACTAGGTCGTCTGCCAAGGCGATTACATCGACCCCTTTCTCTGCAGTTTGATTGTTGAGGAAGACATCAAACACTCTCTGATTAATCTTAGTAATGTTATCAGTAAACTCGCAAAAATGTAGTCTGACCAAGTAAGAGAACCCGGAGTCAACACCGAACATCCAGGTTAAATTGTAATTATAGTTCACTTGAGCATTCGGCCCCATGGATCTAGCAGTGGTGTACACATTTTGTGGTGCAATATACCTAGGCATGGTACCATAATCGATCGTGACATTCGGATCTGCAGCTCCTGAAACTCCATAGGCCGCCCCAAACAGATATGGCTGATCGTCATACCAAGACCTAAACAGACCCGTATCGCCTGAAGGTGAGATGTCGTTTCCACCCACATTCAGCCGGTAAACATTCTCGAGGGCAGTGCTGTTATCGATGGTGAACGGCGAGTTTTGACCCACAACTGGTATCCCCTCGGCATTACTATAAATATCAGGCATCGACAAAACTTCAATCCCATTGACGAATGCATACGAGTTCAAAGGACTGGAACCGGGACTAAATGTCAAGTTCAAGTGATCACCATCTACGTTGATGGAATACTCCTTAACAATAAAAGCATAATTCATGGCTTCACTCGTCTGAGCAGCACTGAAATTCTTGAGAAGTGTATAAGAACCGGACGAGACCGAAAACAACGCATTGCTCGAATTCCGGCCATCATATGAATTAGCATAAAAATACAACCTAACAAACTTCCAACCGGCGACGACCGGGAAACTATAGGTGAAGTCCGATCGAAAAACGCGGGCGGTCAAGAAGGGAACTTCGGGGACCGAGGGATCTTGCGTGGCGGCTCGGGAAGTGACGGAGTTCCCAATTCCGACCAGGAACTTGGACCCGGAATCCGGGGTCCATTTCCGGTCATCGTTATCGGTGAGCTCCGATTTCTCACCGCAGTTCAGCAAGATTTTCTCAGTTGGTACATAATCAGCAGCTAAGACAAATCGAAAGTACAGCAACAACAAGGAGGCAAGAGCAATAACCGACATCGGAAACGAGTTACCGACTGAGTTCCTCGTGAGTTCAAAATGCGGGATCCGAGAGAGAATAAAAAAGACTTAATATTTGAACATAAATGAACAAATGAAAGCAAACCCAGAATTTCTTAGCTAAAAGAACATAAAAAGAAAAGAGAGATCCAAGGGACAATATAGCAAGCTACCTCAAAAACAGAGAAGAAAAAAGATGCTTGTAAAATACGTGTAAATGAAGGGACTTTCAAGGCATTTACCTTTGGGAAGCTGAATAAAGAAGGGAGGAGCTCAGTGAGTGAACTCGGAGAAAATGGTAATGGAGAGTATAGGGTGAAGAAAGAGAAAGGAGCAACCTTTGAAATGGAAAGTTGAAGTGCTACAGCTAGATCTAGCTGAGGCGATGATATGGCAAATGTGGAAATGACAGTAACAGCATTGAATGTGTTTAAATATTACATACGAGGTTTTAATGATCGGATGAGTTTGTAAGGGCATTCTCCTTTTTTTCTGTTTCCCCCTGGTTTTCAGAATCAGACCCGTTAACGAACTGGTAATGTTATCGATTTACTAGTTCAATTAATCAGTCGAAAGAACCAGACGATGTCATAATTATTTAAAAAATTAAATAAAAATATCAAAAATATTTAATAAAAAATAATTTTTTATATCACAAGTCATATTCAAAGCAAGTCATAACATATATAAATTAAAAACTATAAAATCAAGTGAAACAAAATGATTCAAATTAACTACAACATAATATTTAAGGTAAAACATATTAAATAATAAATATAATTATATAACTATAATTAAAAAATAAATTTGGGATTAAAAAAACATAACAAAATGATATTGTTTGGTTTAAATTTTTTTTTAAAACAATCTCACATGGCTAAGAAACATAGAAGAGCATCCCAAAAGTCTAAAGAGTAAAAATATGAGAATAAAATAATCTCACATTGCTAAGAAACATATAAGCGCATCACAACTAACTTCTATAAATAATAGAGATAATTTGACATTCAAAATTATGGAGATTTTGGTGAGCATTGAGTGAACTATTCTTTCACTTCAATCAAGCTCGAATTTTAGGCTTCAATCGAGCTTCTAATTTTTTTTTGAGTTCAAGCCTTTTTGAGTTCAAGTTTCAATATTATATTTCGAATTTGAATTGAACTTGATAATTTTTAGCTTGTGAGTTTGAGTTGAGTTGAGCTTACTTTTAAAGTTTTCAAGTTCGAGTCGAGCTCAGCAATACTCGAGTTCGACTTGGCTCGTTTAACAAACGACGTTGTTTGGTTTAATTTTTAAAAAAAAAATCTCGATTTTTTCTGATTTTCAGCCGGTCTGATTCGAACGGTTCAACGGTTCTGGCCGATTCACTAATAACGGTTCAACCGATTTAGATTGAACCGGACTAAACAACGATTTTCGATTAAACCAACCGATCCAGTCTGATTTTCAAAACAGAGGTTTCCCCATTTCCCTTTGCCAACTTGCATTGCATATATCATGCATCTCGGGCCTAGGCTGTGCCCCATCTCCATCCCCTTTGCAATCAATTTGTATAAATAATAAATTATTGAGTAAAGTACATAAATGGTCTTAATCATAAAATACTATTTTATTAAGTCTCTCAACTATTAAAAGTTACAAAATGATCTTTCGATTATAGAGTGTTGCTTTATTGAGTCTCTCAACAATTAACATGTTGAATGTGATATGATAACATATAATCTTAAAATCTCAAACAACTATCATATTTTAGTCATGATGTTAACATCTAGTTCAGACAATCGTTAATCTTTTAACGAAAAATATGAGTTTGAAACATAATGAATAGTTGGATGATTATTTGCGTACTTTATCCTAATTTTTTTATTAATATGAGGTAAATATAAGACCATATAGTTCAAAAATAACTCTCAACAATTTGACATTAAAGGCTCACATCCCTAATATTTTTTATACTCGAACCCGAGATCTCAAAAAATAACAATAATTTATTTACCACTAAAATCTAGAGATGTTAAGATAAACTATCTTGTGGTTTATTAAATTTTATCAATTAAACTCTAAGTTATGTGATTATTAATAAATAATTATGGACGAACGTAAAACTTTATGAGTGATATGATTATTAATAAGTAATAAATGTTCAAAATTTCTTTAATAAATTGATAAGACACATACTCTATAGATACAAATATTTAAATTTATATAATTTATCAATTTAATTATATTTTAAAACAATTCATTAAATTTAACTTTGTATTTAACATTTTCAACATTTTAATCTTTGTTATTCTTTTAAATTATTTGATCTCCTCCTAAAAATGTTAGATTATTTTCATGTAACTTTATGATAATAACAATTTTTTTTTGGGTATAACCATCGTTATTCAATTTATTAATCGACTACTTTGTATCACGTACTGTAGAGGTAAGAGAGATTCTCCTAATTCGGTTTGCTCTATTTATAAACATCGGGATCTGAACCCCTAACTTACTTAAGAGATCTAGTGTATAATCCTATTAGACCGATTGATTGTTGACATAATAACAATTTAATAATAACTTGTTGCTTTACGACAGAATACAATTATCCAACTATTATTTTAATCGGAAGAAATCGCTTAATTTGAAAATATAAAAAATAGATTGATGAAAATTTTAAACATAAACGGTGTCATAAATTGAATGACCTAGAGTGTATTTTACCCAAAACAAATAAACATGATGAGATGATGGACCAGCGTCCTCTTGTTTCCCACATTTCCACCAATAACCATTGACTATTCACAAATTACCTTCACTAACCTTCGTGTTTTAAGCAAAAGCTCCAGTTTTTTTCTTCTTCAAAATTTAGTATCTTAACTATCACTTTAGTTTTGTTTTGGTCATTTAACTAACATTTTTTAAAATTATGTATAATATTATGTTTTCATTTCATTTTGATATCCTAATATTAAAATATTAATAATGATGTTGACACTTAATCACAAGATAATGTCATGTCATCATTGATTTTTTAAATAAAATGTTATTAGCAATTGTGCTAATTTTTTTATCGGCTAATGATTAAAATGAAACTAAATGAATGATTTTAGGAAAAAATAACTAGGTGACCAGAACATAACAAAAGTAATAGTTTGGTACTAAACTTATAGTTTACCCGATAAATAGTTAAGGTTGTGAATGAAAATAAAAAGGGTTAACTATGCATTTAGTACCTAAACTATCAGTTTTAGTCATTTTTAGTACCTAAACTTTTAATTTTTTCAAAACCATACCTAACGTTTAGTTTTTGTTTCATTTTAGTACATATCGTTAAAAACTTGACACGTTTAGTACCTAAACTTTCAGTTTTGGTCCGTTTAAGTATCTAAACTATTAATTTTTTTTTCAAAATTTAACATTAAGTTTTAAACATTAGTACTAAAATGAAACAAAAACTAAACTTTATGTATGATTTTAAAAGTTTAGGTGTTGAAACATATCAAAACTAATAGTTTAGGTACTAAACGTATAATTTACCCAAATAAAAAAGGATTAGTCTGATGAAAATTTGTAAACTCTCCCACCCAGCTTTCCATACCTGCAATCACTGAAAACTGAAAACCAACTGAATTCTTTCTTCTTCTTCTTCTTCTTCTTCTTCTTCTTCTTCTTCTTCTTCTTCTTCTTTCTTCTTCTTCTTCTTCTTCTTGCTTTGCTTTATAAACAACCAACTGAATTCTTTCTTCTTCTTCTTCTTCTTCTTCTTCTTCTTCTTCTTCTCCTTCCTCCTCCTCCTCCTCCTCCTCCTCCTCCTCCTCCTCCTCCTCCTCCTCCTCCTCCTCCTCCTCCTCCTTCTTCTTCTTCTTTGCTTTATAAACGTAAGTGAAAGTTTTATTTAGTGGACAGGAATAGTTAGCTTGTACCCCAAGAAATGCAGTAATGTTCACATCTCAACCAACCCTTGTCCATTCTGAACCCTAAATCCTGGACCTAAAACTTAACTTGGGAGTCACAAGTTTTAAGCTCCATCACATGATGTCCTTGCAAATTGTAAATACTAAATAGTAAATGCCCTTTTCTTAAATCTCAGTTTCTAGTGTCTTCTCATCTTACCCTATCTGTTATCTCAATGGGAAGCCATTGGAGAATGGAGACCCTTTTTCATTGGCTTAGAAGGTACAGAAACCATCCCCTCTTTGATACTCTTCTTGTTTCACAATTTCAGATTGAAGATTAGTTTACTTATTACTTTGTGTATAGGGTGGTCATAGACGTTGTTGCTCAAGACACATGTATAAATATGTTACCCTTCAGAAGATGCAAAAATGCAGCTCATGGGGGTCAATTTTCCATCGCCATGGATACTTGCAAGAGATGCTTCTTTCTTTCTTTTGGCCTTTCTCGTGTTTTTCTTTGACGATTCGGGGACCGGTGTCTTCGGTTTTCAAGGGGAAGAGCTGATTGAGACCGTGGCGGACGAAGTCCTCGTCACGACGAGACAAGGGTATTATACGTTTTTGTAAGAACTTCCTAATTTTCAGGGTTAGAAACTTGGATGTAATGTGTTTATGGTTTACTATGTTCAGGGTGTATAACGTGGAAGAGTTGGATGATGATGATGATTGGCAAATGGTGCAGACCAAAGGGAACTAGTTTGTTGTCAATGGTCAACCTTTCTATGTCAATGGATTCAATACCTACTGGCTGATGGTATTCACAGCCGATCTATCTACGAGAGGGAAGGTCTCTGAATTGTTCCAACAAGCATCGTTGTTAGGACTAACCATTTGCAGGACTTGGGCTTTCAACGATGGCCAATGGCGAGCTCTTCAGAAGTCTCCTTCGTTTTACGACGAGGATGTATTCAAGGTACTAATTTCATCCCGAATGCTGGCTTCGGACCGCTTGCATACAGCACATGGCAATGGCATTCATCTGAATCGGATAACTAAGTCTTTCCTTTGAAAAATTATATTGCAGGCCTTGGATTTTGTGGTGAGTGACAAAAGAAATACAAGATAAGGCTCATATTGTCATTGGTTAATAACTGGGATGCATATGGTGGTAAGGCACAGTATGTTAAGTGGGGAAACGCTTCCGGACCTCAACTTGACTTCAGACGACGAATTCTTCTCTCATCCGACTCTTAGAAGTTACTACAAATCTCACGTTAAGGTAAGTTCTTTTCAACCATATGTTCAACAGCTTTGTTTGTCAAATTTGCTGATGTATTCTCAGTGGTTCGACGCAGTGGAACTCATCTGTTACTTTTTTGGGCTATATAGGCAGTGCTAAATAGA